TTAAAGTTTCTTGTTTGGCTGAGGATGACTTCGTAAAATTGAAATATTCCGAACTCATTAGTACAATATTAATACTGTCTCTTTCTATTTCGTATAATTTATTTCATTCTTTTTACTTATTTTTTTAAATAATAGTTATATAGTTTTAACAATTTCCCGATTAATACCCTATGTATTTGTAGAGCAATTATCTTTTCATATATTCTTACCCATTTTAGAAGTTCAATGTTTGTTTCAACTTGTGTTATCAAGATCTATTATCACTAATATAAACAATGACTAGGCGCTTGCTATATACAAATTGATTTATGAGGTAACTTCTTCGACTAAGTCGCTTGCAATTGAAAGCTATAAAACAATTACATTTTATTAATTAGCTAATATCTTTACCTCCCATAAGCCAAATAAACATTCAAGTAATGTGATATCGTGCACTATAACATCAAACTCGACAGTCTTGATCATTTCCAAAAGCTTCTTTGCTTCTTTAGTTTTTATCACTGTGCCGCATGCTTGGATGCCCATATTGCGGAGAAGATACATCATATAAAATGAGCTGTACTCTATCCATTCAACTGGATTAAAATCCTCAGATCCTCCATACTCATCCATCAAACCATCGAAAACCTGAAAATAATAGACTCTACAGGATAAGTGACATATTAAAATGTGAAAATAAATTAGGATAGTCTCAATTATATATTAATCTCAGGTAAAATATAGAACATTTCTTAAAACAGAATTAAATAAGTTATATTCTTTCTTATTTCTTTCATAAATTGCAAATAATCGATTTATATTCAGAATATCTTCAAGTCTCGTAGAGGTGTGCGAATCAAACATTTGCATGGTCGAATCGATTTAAATTGAATTTTTTATAACATATTTGAAATCGAATCGAATCGAATCTCTTTAATTCAAATATGAATCATATCTAAATCAAATTTTCCCAGATAAACATTACATGTTAATTTAAACGTAATAAATATCAAAATTTATGATTTACATTATTTTACGCAATGATTTAAACAAACTAAAGATCTGTTTTCGATTTACATCTC